AGCATTACGCAGTAATATATATATATATATTCGAATAAATGGAGAAAAACATTGACTAAAATAGATAATAAAGAAAAAATTAATATACTTTAATAGTTATTAAAATGTAAATATATATATATATATATATATATATATATATATATATATATATATATATATATATATATTTAGTTTAAGTAATATTATTAACACAATAGAGTATTTTTAGTGAGATTTTTTTTACTTGAAAATAACTAAATCTAGAAAGTTCTGTTATTCTAGAGATTTCAAAGAAAATTAGTATATTAGAATGGTTTGTTTAAATTAAAAAAGACTAAACAAATATTCAATTAACATTTATCCGAAACATAATTATGTAAAAATAGAAAATATAATTTAAAAAATAGATTATGTAGATAACAAAAAATAATGAGAGACCAAAGAAATTATTTATGAAATATTTGAAGAAAAAATCATTATAAATACATAAGAAATTTGCGTAAATCTAAAAATGGAAAATACGAAACAAGAGCAATACAATTTTACCTGTTGATCTTTAGAAAGCATTGGAGAGAAGATGATGATGAGGGTATTGGAAAACAATTGATTATTGGATGACGCAGCGGTTTGCATTGCAAAGTGCGAAGGCACGCAACGTAACTTTAATGCACACGCCACTCTTGTGTTAACAATATTCTCTCTTTCTCTTTCTTTCTTATTATTTAATTCAGAGAGGTTTAAATGCACTTCACGTGCTTCATCCACTCAGGTCCGATACCCTTCACGTGCCTTTCATGAGCGGGACCACACGGCTTATCACCTTCAAAGCGGAAGATGAATGACCTAGATCGAGACACGTGGAGAGGTCTGTTTCTGAAATAGGGCACGTGGAACGCGTGTGATGTTTGGAAACGTGTTCGTCGGAAGCCTCACTGTTTGCGTGACGCTCCAGCTGGCTGGCACCGTGCACCCTTCATTTCACGCGCCACCAATGCATCTCATCTTAGTGTGTGGTGATGCAATCAAAGCCTCCAGTATCTGCCAAAATCACATGTGATTTTTTTTAACCGCTTCCCACTTGCCCAACCATGTTTCTTAAGAAAAAAACATTTTTTTTTTACTTTTTCTTGTATGATACTTCGTACTATTTTAAAAGAAAATCATTCTATATTTAAGTAAAAACTTGCAGTGCTCTTTCCAGATTCCAGTAGGTTAGACGTATTCTCAAAATTATTGATGGAATTTTATTTTATTTTTACCTGTATTCTTAAAGAGTTTACATCCATGATTCATTTAAAATCATTGGTAAAACTATTAGAATAAGCTCACATATTTAACAAGATTCTTTGATTGCTTATACGCTAATTAAACTAAATTCTAAAATCATATTAGTTTAATTTCTAACTACGTGTACAATTTCTTTACTGAAAACATCAATTTATTTCAATATTTTATATTTTTCTGGCTGAATAACTTTCTTTCTGTTAACAGAGACATAAGGGTTGGGTGAAGAAATATGTACTCCATTTTAAATAGACAACTAATAAATTATTTATTGGGCGCTGATTAATATTTTATAGTTCTAATTTATTATAAATAATTTTTTAAACAAACAAATATTTAATATTTCTATTAACAAAAAAATTCAAAGACAATAGTAATTTTTTCAACAATGAAGAAAACCCAAGGGTCAATGGGGGTCTCCATCAAGATAAACTGTTTCAGTACTTAACTCCAAAGTATACGAGAATTAAATATAAAAAGAAAAACGGCATCAACAACTTCAGTTTTGGGTCACTTTTAGCTTTTGTAGCCTTGTGTTCCACTCAAATTAGAACCGCCATGAGGTATATTGTGTTTTTATCTTACGAGTTCTAAAGAAATCGAAACGGATTCAATTTCCTAGGAATCATCTTTTGTTTAACTTTTGACATCATGGTTTGATAAATTAATGTTTTAAGGGTTTGGTTGTGTTTTTCTTTTGATTAATTAAGGTTTGCAAACAGCATGCAGCACTTGGTCAAAACCGCTTTTACTTTCTTGGTGATCACATTTGTCATTACATGGTATAATAGTAACAGACCCATCAAAGAAAGAGGAGATGAATGAAAGTTAAAAAAAAAATCGAAAGACAACAAAACCCAGTACAAGTTTTAATTGTTACAAAACTTCACAAAAATATAATATCATGGGTTGGCTTCTGACCCAATGTTAGACTATACAAAAGAACTTTTGTTAAAAGAAATAATAAACTCTTTAGTTGGATTTTACTAATGTGAGTTACACAGGTTTAGTCCTTTTTCAAGACTACATAAGAGAACTTTATTCTCATATTTTATGGATTTAATAACACCTGGAGAAATTGTCTTCCACACAAACATAGAATCTAAACCCATCAATCTCAATCTATTTTATTGGGGATAGTTAAAATAAAATATATGGTTCAAGTTTTGTTTGAATATTTGTTTTCTTTAAGGACTTGTATGAAAGAAGAAAATTAAAATTGATTTATTCTATAAATGAAAGGCAACTTATGCACGTGACCTTTCTTGCATGTTTGCAACTGTTTGTAGGCAGATATGAACAAAATAATTTGAGTTGAATTGTAAAATTAAAAATTGTACCGGATAAAAAATTATTTGTATGATGAATTAATTGAATTTTAATTAGTTTAGACAAATTCAACTGAATTATTTTCTTAATTAAATTGTACCGAAATTTGTTTTTTATTTTGAAATATAATATAATTTTAAGACATATCACAATATGATAATGATCTAGATGAGTTGGATCGGACTAAAGATCGAAACAAATTGATTTAATCTAAAATTATGATTAATCAAACCAAAGTTCAAGATGAATCAAATTTAATATAATATCGAGACATGTCATATAAGATTAAAGGTCCACATAAAGTGAATAAGATCTAAACTCTAAATTGGCGGAATTGGACCAAAGGTTGCGATAATCGATGTTAGGTCAAAATTCAGCTAAATCCATCATGACATCCACATTTGAAACTCAATTGAGTTTGTCTCGACAAAAAATCAACTGAGCTTGAATTAGTCGATCCTTACCAAAAATTGATCGAATTCGGCTGGAACAATCACAATTGAAAATCGGTCGAGATCGCAACGGTTGAAACTCAATCAAGTCAATTCCAACTGAAATTCTGTTGAGTCAACTTCGACTGAAAATCTAGCAAATTTGTTTGGGACGACCACAACTAAAACTCAGTAAAGTCGAATCTCGACCGAAATTTGGCCAAATTCAGTAGAGTCAGTCCCTGTGGAAAATTGATCGGGACTACCATGGTTGAAACTCGGTCAAGCCAATCTTGACCGAAAGTCGATCAAATTCAATCGAGTCGGTATCAAATTTTGCAAAGTCGATCACGACCAGAACTCAATTGTGTTTGTCCCTACAAAATCCGACCAAGTCAGTTTCAGCCAAAAATTAGCTGAGTCGACTCTAACTGAAAATCGACTGAATTCGATAGAATTGGCTCTAGGCAGAAATATCGACCGAATTAGGTTAATTCGGCTCCAATCGAAAATTGGTTTAATTTGCCCGAGTCAACTACCGCTAAAGTTTGGTTGAGTCGGTAACAACTAAAGTAAAGTGCAACTTTAGAGACTTTCAAACAAGTAAAGGGTATAAATGATATAGTTTTAAGTTAATGAAAGTATACTACAACTTTAGAAGTTCAGTTGTTTAAAACTAAACTATTGAATGATGATGTTCTGTTTTTAGTCTAAACAATTCAGTATTTTTGGTATAATATAATATAGTTAATTGATAATTTAGTTAATTTTGTCCAATGCTATTTGTAAATAGAATAACTGAGCAATGACATGACATATAATAATGTGAAGACATTCTTATCTAGCCTTTTACATATGCTCCTTTATCCAAATATTTAGATTACACAGTGGGTTTCAAAAGTCTCAAATGAATTAGAGACAACAATAATCTAGAATATATACAAATGAATGTAAATTTCACCTTATAAGTTGATTTTATGGGATTGAATTAAACTTAAAGTTCACTTTTATTTAAAATGATATCAAAACTACGAGTTAAAGTCTTTTTTATTTTAGTAACATTTATTGTTTGTTCATAATATATAAATACATGAAAATCTCACTAAATTAATTTATAAAATTGAGTTAAACTTATAAAAAATTTTACTATTTAACATAATATCAAAATCATAAATTAGAATTCAATTTTAAAAAAACTTGTTAAGTCTATTATTTCATTTATTATATATATATATATATATATATATATATATATATATATATATATAAACCTGAATTGATTATATACGTGGATATATATGATAAGTTATAATTTATTTCTTTTAAAAGCTAAATTTAATTCTTTTTCATTTATTTTAAATTTTTTACAATCAATAGACTAATGACTGGAACTAAATGTGAAAGCTTAAACGTATGTCATATATTTTCTTCAAAATTAAAAATATGTTATTAATATATTCTATTTTTATTATCAATTAAATGATTTAACCTAACTTATTTTCATCTATCATTCCAATACAGTTACTTTATTTTTAATTTTTTTAAATATCAATGGTTAATAATAATGATGATCTTAAATTTAAAAATATAATTTATATATTCAAACCATTTATTTATCGCATACTTGAAAGTATCTATTTATTGTATATCTTATTATACAATAAAATGTATACTATATCATATATATACTAAAATAATATTTGCTTAATGATTCTTCTGCCGTCAAATATAAAATACATACCCGTGTTTAAATGTTTTCTTTTCAATCAAACGTGGATAAATGAATAAAAAACGTGGATAAGAAAATTTTACAATATGTTCCAATTAATTAATAATAAGAAAAAAAAGGGGAGGAGAGGACACGAGGCATGGTATGATAATTGTTGTGTACTAACTGTGGTAAAGTGAGAAAGGTAGGTTGACCTAACCATGGTTTAGCATTTTGCAGTTAGAAGTTGTAGAGGCTATAGCAGAGTGTAACCTGCATCTTTCAATTCTCTCTCTTCTCGTGGGTTTCTCCTTCTCTACCCTCGTGCCTTGCTTCCTCTTCCTTCTTCCTTTCTCCAATTTTCATTTTCCGTTACGAACCAAGCAACAAAACGCTCTTTTCTTTTCATTCGGTGGCGACATCCCTCCTTGTCTCTGCTTTTGTTTCCTTCCACTCGCAGTTTTTTCCGAATGTGTGTTTCTCCCCCACAACTTTCCTTTCTCGTCCAGTTTTGTCTCCCCTTTCCCAGCTTAGCCTCATAAGTAAATCCCACTTCCTGTTTCTATCTTTGTCTCTGTTTTTATTTTAGCTTTGGTCGGCGAAGCCCAAATCTGAAAGATCTGAGAGCACCTTCATGAGATGGAAATGGACAAACAGTTGCATTTCGGTTATTAAAGGAGGTTTGTGGTGTTGGATTAAGGGGTTGAAAACTTGAGATAATTGGTTGGTGGGTGGTAGTTTTAATTTGTTCAGGAGATGAAGGTTGACGCGGGGTCAGGGCGCGTGGCGTGGAACGAGGAGGAGAAGGCCGTTGTTGGGGCTGTTCTGGGTGGTCGAGCTCTGGAGTTCTTAACGACAAACTCGGTGTCGAATGAGAGTGTTTTAATGGCGGTTGGGAGCGACGAAGGACTTCAGAACAAGCTCTCGGATCTGGTGGAGCGTCCCAACGACTCAAATTTCAGTTGGAACTACGCGATTTTCTGGCAGCTCTCGCAGTCGAAATCCGGTGACTGGGTTCTGGGTTGGGGAGACGGGTGCTGCAGGGAGCCCAACGAGGAAGAGGAGGGTGCGGTGAGAGGAAAGCTGAGGCTTCTTCGCGTGGACGAGGAGATGGAGCAGAGGATGAGGAAGGGGGTGCTGCAGAAGCTGCACACTACTTTTGGAGGATCGGATGAGGACAATTACGCCTTTGGCCTCGACCACGTGACCGACACGGAGATGTTCTTCCTTGCTTCCATGTACTTCTCTTTCCCTCGCGGGCATGGTGGCCCAGGTAAGTGCTTCGTTTCCGGGAAGCATTTGTGGCTGAAATCTGTGCCCGATTATTGCGTGCGGTCTTCCTTGGTTAAATCTGCCGGAATTCAGACCATCGTTATGATCCCTACTGATTTGGGAGTGGTGGAGCTGGGTTCCGTGAGAGTGTTAGCGGAGAGTTTTGAACTCGTGCAGGCCGTTAAATCTGTGTTCTCCACGCAGTGTTCGCCGTACCCTGGGGTGAACGTGAGCGCCAGTGGGAATGCGGTTTATACAGGTTTGGCCATTGGGGATGGTAGTAAGGTAGATGGCGGAGTTCCAATTCCTAAGGTTTTTGCAAACGCAACTGGCAATCGGACCCATTTCAGAGAGAAACTTGCTGTTAGAAAAATGGAGGATAACAGGCCTTGGGCAGGCCATGCCCTCCCCAATGGGAATAACCTTAACAACAATCCGAATGCAATGAATGGTCTTCATGTTCCGGGTTGGGCAGTGAATTCAGGTGTCAGACAGGCTGGTCCTGTTGAGATTTTTGCTTCTAGGGGGGCATCCACGAGCAGTGTTGTAGCGGAGTTACCTAACGGTGCTAGACAGGATTTTAGGCTTGGCAACGGCTATCAACCTCAAAGGCAGGTGCAAATGCAAATTGACTTTACCGGAGCCACTTCTAGGCCCTCACATGTGAGACCTGTTGTTGGTGATTCAGAGCTTTCTGATGTTGAGGCCTCTTGCAAGGAGGAGCAAGCCAGTGTTTTGGATGAAAGGAAGCCCAGGAAGCGGGGTAGGAAGCCTGCTAATGGAAGGGAAGAACCCCTGAATCATGTGGAAGCCGAGAGACAGAGACGTGAAAAGCTCAACCAACGGTTCTATGCATTGAGATCTGTAGTCCCTAATATCTCCAAGATGGACAAAGCTTCGTTGTTGGGCGATGCCATTGCCTACATCAACGAGCTTCAGGCGAAGGTCAAAATCATGGAGGCTGAAAGAGAGAGATTTGGAAGCACCTCGAAAGATGGATCAGTTTTGGAAGCTAACTCAAGATCTGAAAATAAAAATCAAGAGAAAGAAGCTCCTGATGTGGATATTCAAGCAGCTCAAGATGAGGTAACTGTAAAGGTGAGTTGCCCTTTTGATACTCACCCTGTTTCCAAAGTAATTCAAACACTCAGAGAGGCACAAATCAGTGTTGTAGAATCAAAACTTGCTGCTGCAAATGATACTGTTTTCCACACATTTGTAATTAAGTCCCAAGGATCCGAACAACTTACAAAGGACAAGTTGATTGCTGTTTTTTCCCCACCAGAATCCAACCCATTGCAGCCATTGTCATCAGTTGAATAACAAATGAACTGCAGTTTAGCATAGGCTATAGGGATTCATACATAGAGAACAACCAATTTCTAAAGCTCTCAGAAATTTTTGTTACACCCGTATCTAAAAGTAAAAGTGGTGGGAACTAGAGTAGTAGAGTAATAGCTCCCCATTAACCATGTAGGCAGCCATTTTATGTTTTGTCTATAGTGTATACACATCAGAAATATTGTTCCTGCTATGTCAATTATTTTATTTAGTTTAACCAATCTAGTTGTTATGGGTAAAGAGTTTGTTTACATGTCTGAAATCATGTTTTTAAGGTTTTCCTTTTCACTCTTGTCCCTTGCTTAAGAGGGAAGAGTATTAGTTTTTTTTTTTTATATAATTTTTATATTGTTTATGTGTTCTTTCTTATTAGAGAGACATATAATTGTAAATTTTTTTATTGTGTATGTTTTAAGTTGTTTTTGCCTTCATAAGCATTCAAGTAAACTTTTGTTTGGAGTTTTCGTTATGCTTTATTCAGTTTCCTGAAGAGTTGTCTTTCCAATCTGCACAAGGACATACTTCCACTTATTATAATAAATAATAAGGTGAGATTACTAGTGGCAGTGTAGAGATAAGAAACTGAACATTTATGCAAAGTGAGTGGATTGTATTTTGTGGTACAAATTGCACATAATTTGTTTGATTTTGGTTCCTTCCCCTATCACTTTATCTGCAACCAAATGAGTCCGAATATTTGATGCATATGATAAGGAAGAAAAGTATTGCCATATTGGTACTGCTCTTAAATTCTTGACCGTTCCTTTGTTATTACTACCTTTCTAGGAAATTGAGGTGTCTCTAATTCATGCAGAAAGGAGCATTAGGCTAAAAGGCTATCTAGGAAAAAAAGAAAAAAAACAGGGAAGCTAAACTTGTCCTATTTATTTTATTGATATTCCAGGACAGGAAATAAAATACATGAAAACATAGGTACCGGTCTGCAAAGATAAGAATACTAGCACATAGCATAGCAGTGTGTTGAGTGGTCCTGCATCATAGGTGTCGGTGTCCCTGTCTTGAAATTTGATATTGTAGAAAATGTTCACGTGCTAAGTTACTTTTATTAATTATTAGTTCTGCAATGACAACAATCATGTGGTGCATGTGTTGCCTTTCTAAAGGGATTGAAAATCGCAACTTGGAAAAAATAAAAAATAAAGGAAAATTGATTATAAAAAGAACAGTTATGTGACAAAACACAGTGAATAAACCCATTCGTGTTTCTTTCCAAGATTTGTACATAGACAGTAGCTTAAAAAGTGTTTATATTAATCATTTTGTTTTTAATTTTATTTTATTTTTTTTAAAAAAAAAACATCGATTGGCTAGCTACTTCAAATAGAGATAATAGAGATATCAAACTATCAAAGACTTCAAATAGAGATAATAGAGATATCAAACTATCAAAATGGATTGAAACTTATAAAGAGATATCAAACAATCAAAATGGATTGAAACTTATGAGATTTTACGGTTATTTAATTGGAAAATGACACTTGAACAACCATTTTTGACAACATTTAGACACGCGCACACGTGTCAAAATCTGAGTGGTCCATTTTCATTTAATTAATCCAAATGAACAACTCAGATTTTGAAACGTGTGCGCGTGTCTAAATGTTGTCAAAAATGGTTGTTCAAGTATCATTTTCCTATTTAATTTGTGAATTAGGTGGAACTGAAGAAATACTATCCCATAATTTACAAACAAGAATCATTTTCTTATTTTTATATCTTTTCCCACAAATTTATTATTATAATTATTTAAACATTGATACTTTTATTTTTTGAATATTAAAATATTATTCAATAATATTTATATAATTTAAATATTTGATATCAAATAAGTGCACATTATATTTTCAACTAATGTTGTTATAATAAAGTTTCATGAAATATTACTATAAAAATTAAAATTAGTTAATATATTTTTATTGTACTACAATATAAAATATTTTTTATATTAACATTATAAGATATTTCTTTTTTGTAATTTTTAAAAAATATAATTCTGCAAAAGTTATGAATTATTATTCCATTGTTAAATGCTTTTTTACCAAAAAAAGTTTGTTTTGAAATTTTTTTTGTAACAAATCTAAATAAAAATTACAAACAAACAAATAACTAAAATACTTATACTAATCCAATTTAATTTAGTTACATTGGTGGACAAACACAGTAGTCCAAGAAACAAATGTAACTTAGACTGTTTTTAGAATCATCTCTCCCATCATCCACAAGTGCATGTATAAATATACATACTATAATTATATCAAAATTGGTGAAAATTAAACAAGCAGATGCACATTTATAATTGGATAGATGATATAATAAAAATTTCACCTTACTTTTCATATATCTAATTCAATGTCCACTTGAAGAAGATACCAAAGTTAATTATCCTTATTAAGAGATAACATGACAATAAACAAAACATTCCTTATACACTTTTCAAAATTTTCCATAAAAATTTCTAATAATTAAAGTATCAAACCCTACATCAATATCATCTTCTCTTAGCAAAACATTCTCAAAGAAAATATTATTACATCTAGAACTACCTCGTATCAACAATCTAAATGACTGCGCTTGATTCTCACGTTGTTATCTTCTCGTGTTGTATTAAGCTAAATAAAAATAGCCTAGTTATCTTTTAGATTTGAAAGAGTTAAAGAAAGAATAAAGTGTTTAAAGATCTCTATTATCTACTTCTTTACAAGCTCTTTTTTTCTTTTAAACCGAATCAAACCTTTAGTTTAATAAAGAAAAATAATAATGGATAACCTTCGTTTGCAATGATATAAATCGTCATTTAATTATTCTTTATCTATTTAAAATTTATATTTATCAACATTTTAGGCCCTAAATATATTTATTATTCTGGATATGTATTCACGTTTTTATTTATATTTATTATGAATTTTGGCTACAAATATTTATGTGGATATGAATATTTTTTATTAAGTTAAGAAATGGGTGCTTTCTCTTTAAGTTTTTTTTTTTACGTTAATAAAACTTAGATAAGTAAACAACATAATATAATTTTTTACGTTAAAAAAAAATATAACTTTGAAAGATAAAATATTACAGTACCATATCATTTATTTTCCTCTTCAATAGTTTATAATCTTTTACAGGATTATTATTTTTTAAAAAGTATAAATAATTTTAATCTGCATTGAAATAATATTGTTAAAAGTTTTATGCTGAAGTAAGAGTTAAAAATAAACCTTGTTAATAAGTTAAACTTACACATATTATTTTAGCATTTACATCTTCAATTTTGTAATAGATATTTAATCTGTATCAATTTAGTTTATTATTGGAAAACAAATTAAATGTTGAATACTCCTACTAACAGTATCTGTTGAGATACAAAATTCTCATGTATTTTTTTTAAGAAACAGAGTGCTGTCTCCAAATCTTGTCGGTAATCACATGAGATATATAGAAGGAGACAACTCAAGTGTAGCCACCCAAGTCGTCAACTTTGTCACAATAACATGTTTTACTGCTACTGCATCAGAGTTGTAAATCTCTGATTTTCTTTTGTCTTTTGAGAGTAAATCCAGCCCTTCAAAATCTAAGAGGGTTTAGAATAAGAATGAAAGTGGCCATATGAACATTTTGCAGACACATGACTTCACTAATAAGATAGTAATGAGCAGTTGCAGCCATTTACAAAGAGCTTATATTCTGGATTTGGTGTGTCGAATGTTATTTCTTTGGCCGTTCATGTATCTATGTCCCATTAAAATTTCTCTAGTTTCCTAAAAATAAGTTTTTCAATCATCATACATACCAGAGATATTAATGTCTCCTTTGAAGTGTAAAATTCCGTTTTGATTTTGTCTTTTAAGTTTAAGAGAGTATCTTAGATAATGGAAAGATAAATGAGTATTTAAACTGTGAATTCAATTCTTAATCACCATGAGATTATTGGGCGTGGTCGAAAAATTCTATACTGTCAATTATGCAGGATCACTAAATATGCTAACTGTGAGATTAGCATAACCAGAGTATTGATACAATTGTGGGCTTGGAAAATATTTTTCTTCCTTATACCTGTTGTGTTGATCTTCTAGTGTCAATGACTGTTTTTCTATTTAGACATGTCATTGCCATATAATATAATTAACTTTGGTAGCAACACCTATCTTCTATCCTCTCACATATCTGATATATATTTTAACAAACTTTTAGCATGTCATATTTCAGTATTTTTCTCTCTATATATATATTTACAATTAGAGTCATCAAAAGGGTTATAGTAATACAGAAAAAATATAAATTGTAAGTTTAATACTCGTATATGACATTTCACTCATTAATATAAAACAAGAAGTAGGAGACAAACTTTACTAACTATTTATGATTAATGAGTAACACTGCAAGTTTAACACATATACATACGTGCAGTTGAAACTGGAATACATATATTATCATAATAAACACTTTGCATATAAAATGTAACTGGTCCTAGGAACAAGACATGGGGAGCCGAAACATGCATAGTAACCTGAAAAAAGAGAAAATACGAGGAAATAAGGATCGAAAGGCTGAAGTTGGTGGTTGCCCATACCTCAAGTGGCAGCAACATAGCCTTTATTCGAGTTTGGATGATGATTCTAATCTTGAATGTTTAAAGCATCCTTGTCCTTTCTCTTTGGGGGTTGTGAAGGATTAGGGTGTGGATGGGATGTGGGGTTGGTTTTGTGTAATAAAATCTGATGTAGCAAACATGCCATGTGTGGTGGTGGTCACTGCGATGGCCACTTATAAATATATATCCTTTTTTCTGCATGCATATCCACATTAAAAGCAAAGTGTGGGATCCATATCCATCCAAAAATAAAGATATCAACTCAGAAAAAAACTGTTTGATTCCATAAGAGGAAGGAAAGTGGGTATGATTGACTTGATTAGCTCCTTCACAAAACCACACGTTAGGCTGTCCCATCCAGTTTCTTTTGCTTCCATGGTTGCTTCAAATTCAATGGTGAATGCATGTCTCTACCACTGCTTTATATAATCAAAATCAAAATAATCCTCACTACTATGACGAGTTAAACGAGGAACATACTCACATGTGTTTCTTAATTTTCATCCTTTTTATTTTTCGGATAGCTACCACCTAACTTAGCCCACTCCTTCCTTCATCTTCTTTTTGTTACTATCTCTCAAAAAAGTCTGTTGTGTAGGAGAAATATCATTGTCAAAATTCTCTAAAAT